CCTAACCCATTGTAATATTCCCCTTAAAACTTCACCGCTCCCCCCCCCCCCCCTCTCTGATACAACTCTGAGAGGTTTCTGCACGTTACGCAGTTGTGCATTCTTTGCGAGATCAGAATAGAGCTGTGCGCCACCGCCCGCTCATGGTGACGCCGTTCGCACCGCCGCCGAAGTCCCGAAAAGGACTGCGCTGCCGCCGCGCAATAATTGCGGCGCACCGCCGTTAGTCTTATTTTAACCTGAGCGGAAAACGTGGGCATAAAATACATCACTTCACCTTCTTTTCCGCATCTTTAAGATTTCGAAAGCGGTGTTTGTGGTGTCTTGCCTACTCTCTTGGTTCGTGTTTACATGCCGTGGCAATATAAGGGACCCGAAACAGCTTCCTGCTATACCTAATTGAGCGTGTTATTCTCCCTTGACGTTTCTCTATCTTTATTTGGAGCTTTTCGTGATGCCCAAGTGGTGATTCATGTGGCATAATAAAGGGCACATAATTCCGAATGGTCCATATTTGATCGATATGTGAGGTTGAACGTCCCAAAACTACACTATAAAAACTAAGAGAGTGCTGGGCACTCTTCTTGGGAGAGTACTTTCTTGTGCCATATTTCACTTTTTTTTGCAAAGTAAACCAACTCTTGTTGAGGCAGAGTACAGTGATTTACCCGAACAGGTCAAAGAACTCCCCCTCAACAGAGTAACATAACGCTGTCCGAAGCAGAGAAGCATGACCCCACCGAAGAGAGTAGCAGTACACCTAAAAAAAAAAAAACAGAACTTGAGCCGGAATTGGGTTTTTAATGGTTTTTGACGAATCTCAGGGCGCGCGGATTGTAAGAGTAGGTAAATAAAAACACTACGACAAAAAGTAAGTAAATGTAAAAATGTTGCAAAATAATTGAGTGCGACTCGAACCTTCAACCTTTAGACGCACAACAGATTGCTTGTTCGCCATGATCACCACTACACCACACTGACTTTTTTATTGCAGTACATCACACTGACAGACAGCTAATGGCCGTTTATTTCTTCATGTCATAAGTAATGTTGGTGACATGTCTGCACTTTCTTGTTTTCACTCATAGATTTGAGTGTCTCCGCGTTTCTCAAAACAAGCCGGACTGTAGCTAATGTGTTTACTGCGTTTGTTTGGTGTTTCGTAAGATTAGAACGCCTATCCGGCCCGTTTTTTTTTTACAGTAGAAAAAGAAATATTGGCGCAACCAATTTTATGAACGTCACTTGCACTTACTCGTGGCTATAGTCATTTCTGCGTACTAAACATAGTGCTTCTGCAGTGTACACTGAACAATTTAGTTATTTTTTTATCCCCTAGGACATATTTTCGGTCTTGTTCGCCTTCTACGACTAAAGTTATAATACTTCACTGAAGCCGTACCGTATGTTAGGCTTACGGTACCATCGCCCGTGTGCGATGGTCGTACTGAAAAACATCAATATTATTATAAAGAAAATGTCATAGCCGTTTACGTTGAATTTCAATCGTGACCGACTGAATGAGATAGTATTAGCTTATTTCACTACACAGATCGAAAGCTAAAAACGGGGATATTAAGAGTTCCAAGTGCCGTCCAGTGCACTGAAATTCACCGGCGCGTGCCGGAAACGCTGCTCTTTTGTAAATCGTCTCTAACGCCTCAACAAAAAAATGAAGTACGTTTTATTGCATATATGTACGGTTATTAGGTAGTGCTAATCACTTGCGGTGTGCCGACGGATTTAAAAGTAATGAAGGGCAGGAGAATAATCGCGTTTGACTCTCTCATGCCAGAAGAGAATATGGACATTTCACTCTCAAGGAGCGGAATAGTAGAAAGCTCTCTCTCGTTTCACACAAAGTGAAAATGAATGTAACTGCATCTGATGTCTTGCGAGAGTAGAAGAACACTGTGAAGGGTAACTTGGCACTTTTACTCTTGCGATACCCTCCGCAGTTTTTAGAGTGTGCCATATATATACTTGAGAGACGCCATTGTAAAGAGAGAGAGAGAGAGAGATAAAGATGCAAGGAAAGGCAGGGAGTTTAACCAGACGCACATCCCGTTTGCTACCCTGCACTGGGGAAAAGATAAAGGGGAGAAAAGAGGTTGCAGAGAGATGAGAAGGTACACACAATCACGAGCACACTCGGGGAGCACACACAGTCTACAGGCGGTCGCTCAGGTTTGTTGACTTTAGGTAAATTAGCAGTGATTTAGTTGCTTTCTGCGCAACTGAGGCAGATGCCCAAGGTCCTAGTATCTTCTGCACACAAAATGGTCCGGGGTAAAGTTGATTCAAAACCATCCGGAGCTGGCATCGGTGTGTGTCGTAGCAAGCGCAGCTGCACAGGACGTGTTCGATGGTCTCTTCAGCTCCGCAGTAGTCGCATGTAGGAGTGTCTGCCATACAAATGCGAAAGGAGTACACCTTTGTAAATGCAACACCCAACCAGAAGCGGCATAACAGTGTCGCATCGGAGCGGGAAAGTTGTGATGGTAGCTTTAGCTTGAGCGAAGGATCCAGTTCATAAAATTGACACCTTTGGAAGCTGGTAGACGACCAGAACGTGCGTGTGAGATCTCGAGCCAGCAGGTAAAGTTGTCTTGCTGCATCATTCCTTGATAGATGAATCGGGACTACACGGGTTCCTTCATAGGCTGAGCGGGCTGCATCATCGGCTAATTGATTTCCGGTAATACCGATATGTCCAGGCAGCCATTGATATATAATATCATGCCCTCGTGCTAGAGCTTCATCATGGCAATGTCTTATTTCTTGTACCAATTGTTCATGACTCCTCCTACGCATGGCCGACTGCAAACTCTGAAGCGCTGCCTTCAAATCACAGAATATGACCCATTTTTCTGGACGTTCTTGAACGAGATATTGTAAAGCAGCCACCATTGTAAAGCAGCCATTGTAAAGGGCTCCGGAAATTTCGACCACCTGGGCTTTTCTAACCTGCACCGAAATCTTAACACACGGGCGCCACCATTTCCGCCTCCATTGAAAATGCAGCCACCACAGCCGGGATTCGATCCCGCGACCTGCGGGTCAGCAGCCCAGTACCTTCTACTAGAGCACCGTGGCGAGGCGCGTTTCGCATGAAAGTTGTACGCACATTGCGTGCAATCTGAAATTTTTTCTGTTGTTATTTTGTAGTGAAAATTAGTTATATTGTTACCATGCTCGAGTCCACACAGAGTAAGGTGTAGACTGACACTACATTCATGTATACAGTTACTTCGTCCAGAGGAAAATGATGCTATGAGGCCGAGTGACGCAGGTGGTTGTCTATTGCAGACCACGCAAACGATCCATAAAGTAAGAAACGATGGCAAGTGAAACTGCTGGAGAGTCCGTGCACGTGAACAACTGATCAAGCGCTAAGTAAGCTTTTATAGACGAAGTAAGAGCGTTAGAGAAGGTTTGTGTGCTTGGATCAAGTATACAAAGGACTTAGAAGGGTGAAATGAAGATGTCGTAGATTAAGAACAAAGGACAACGGCGTAAGGTAATATTTTTACAAAAGATGTGCACTTAATTCTTCTAAGAAAGAACAACGTTTGCTATCAAGTTTCATGTACGGTTTTGTCCTTGGCTTGACAAAGTTCAATAGTTCACTTTTTAGTGACGCTCTTATTTAGTGTAGCATTGATGTTTCATTTCAATCGAAACAAGAAAAAAACGTCGTACTAAAGTATGCTGCCATCGAATGGATTCAACGCAATTACCTGCCCGGGGAACACAGTTTGGAAAGATTAACCTCCTGTATGAAAAAATTCAGAATTCCTAGCGTTTTAAATGTGCCAGTAGTCGGAGAAAATTTCTAAAACACAATGAGATTGAAATTGGCGTTTGTAGAACTGATTATGCTAGAAGATGAGTTTTCGAGGGGGATATCAAGCCATATATTTGTATTTTCCGTCTTCGTGATGTCTCTTGACTTGCAAACTTATTGCCGAGGCCTATCCACAAAAGTCATTGCATTTCAATCATCTCAACAGCGGTGATTAGCGAATGCCGCAGAATTCTTTACAAACTGTAAAAAAAAAAAACGTTAACGAGGCGGTATTGCTTGAAAACAAAGTTTATGCCTTCATTTGTTCCTTGAATGCCGTAGTTCACGGGAGGATATGAGCTTCTAAGTTCCCAAACTGAAATATTTGGCCCGGCGAGCCGGGTTAGAAAGTGGCACGGCAACAAAGAACATTGTTTGTACCAGCAAAGCTGACCTAGCTTAGCGTTAAATTTCGAGACCTGAAATTAACGTTATCATGAGCCCGGACCCGTTCTTTAAGTTCTTTTGTTCTGTTTCACAACAAGACCGAGTCTGTGAACTGGTCCGGCACGTACCTACGGGGAAAGCGAAAAGCGAATGCGAGACGTGAGGGTGAAAAGGAGGGCGAATAAAGAAAAAGACAAAGATTTTTACATAGGAAGAAAAATGCGGCGAAAGAAAATTCTTTGTTAGGGGACGGGATTCGAACACAGGTACAGACGATCCTAAGACAAGCGTTGCTTATGCCCGCACGCTGAGAGCATAGCATGGCCTTGTATAGCATCGCAGAGTATAAGGCGGTGGAAACGAGAGCTGAGAGTGTGACGAGCAAGATGGAGGGAACAGAACACAACAGAACGTATAAAGAATGACAAACGAATAGAAAGAAAATAGTGACAGAGATATTCACAAGGGAATACAACAAATGAGATTATTACAACGAGGAAGGATGTGTTGAATACAGAATGAAAGAGGAAACTATAGAAAGCTAAAGAGAGAGAAATAAATAAAAAAAGAAATGAATGAGCATGGGCAGCTACAACGAAAACAGAAAAAAAGAGAGATGGTTGAGACGCAAGATGAAGAAAAATAAAGAAGGCCACCCAGCTCTATAGAGAAATACAGAGAAATACAAAAATGGGTCGCCCAGCGAACGGTGACGTGTCCATGCGTCACTGACCCAAGTATTACGCGACTTAGTGGAAATTTCTTCCTTTTTTTCTTGCTTTTTTTCGAAGGTTGAAATAAAGACACATAGCTTTATTTAGCTGCCATCATTTAAAACATATTTTTAAAACTTTTTTTTGCTAATGGAGTTTCTATGTGCCGACAACGCGTGTGGGTCGACGCAAAATGTCGCCTTCGTCAGAAGATTGATGCTCGGGCGTTTGAAGAAAAACTCTGGTCCCTCAGGCGTCCAGGACGTCAGTCAAGCTGAGGTAGGAACAGATGAGTGCCTGCATGTTTCTGCCGATATTGTCGAACGTCATAGTCCGCATTTTTGCCTTGCTGTTGCGGTTGCACACAATATTGGCTTTAACGACACCCGTGAACAGGAAGTAGTTTAACGAGAGCCTCTGTCGCGCCTCGGCTAACTTACTGGTGGCCTCGGCGCGGGAATTGTGGACCAGCAGGGCCAACAACACCGACTGACAGTGCCGCAGTGTGTCGAAAGCCAAAGCGTCGGCCTTGTCCATGGAGCCGTCGACGAACCGAACGGCTTGGTTTACCAGCATCTGCGTTTTGAGGGATGACACGTTGAAACAATTAGCCAAAAATGACTGAAACAATATGTTTTACGCCAATGCTGCTTCGTAGAATTGAAATTAATTCCCCTTGGCTGAAACATTTAACAAAGAAAGAGTCACGAAAAGTGGCTGATTGTAGCAGATGGTCGGAATGATGGACCTTTTGGTTCCTGTGCTAGCAATGCTTCACCTGCATGCTTTCGCACGTGGCTGTTTTCATGCACATTTCCTGAACACTTCACACAATAGAAAAATTACCAAACACAGACACATGCTCAGCAAATATTACACCATAACAAGTCCGATGAAGCAATATCGACTGATTGTTTTATGCAAGCGTCAAAGAGGCACAATATTCAGCTGTATGGTTAAAAACAGTACATATATAAAACCGAGGGAATAGACATTTTGTGTAACCATATTGCCACAGGAATAACATGAAAGTAAATAATAGTCCGGATTTATGTATAGATCAGCAATAATCAAGCCGAACGCCTTTGGTCTCTACTACTAGCCGCTAAAGTTTTCGCCACGCACAAACAGCAAAACTGACTCGCACAACAGAGAAAGAATCACCACATGCACCTGTAATTACTCTCAACGAGTCTCAAAAAGCCTAGGCTCGATGCTATCGAAGTTGTAAAGGGGAGGGGACGTGTTCAGCGTGAATACTATGGCTTCAACTGTTTACGTGGACGGAGTCTGGTTGTGCTGCACGACGAGAAGATCGTGTGCTGGTCTCGGGAATAACTCGGTAGTTCAGGTCGCTGAGGCACTCGAGAGCTCTGCAAGGTCGGAAGTAGGGACGTAAGAGTTGGGCGGAATCGCCACGTTGGCAGATGGAAGTCCATATACATATTGCTTCTTCAGGACTCATGCGCCATTTCTCTACGACGAAGATTGCATCGGTGAGCGTCGTATTGTCGCTGAGAGCAGATGCAAAACCGCGCTAGATGACGAGCTTCTTTCAGCGCGCTGAGCATACTCAGCCGCATTTTCTGTGGTGGTCACAAATGCGTCAGGCTGAAGTATGACGTCTAACGTCGTGGTGACCTCGCGGCAGGGAATCAGACGAAAAGGTGTGAATCCTGTGGTCTCCTGAAAGGCGGAATTATATGCGAAGGTCAAAATGGGCAGAATGATGTCCTAATTTTTGTGATCCACGTCATCATACAGGGAGAGCATGCCAGCAATGGTTTTGATGAGTCGTTTTGTGAGGCCGTCAGCTTGCGGATTGGCTGCAGTCGTCCGGCGGTGAACGGCGCCGCTAAGTTCCAGCACTTCTTCCAGCCGTCGGGCGGTGAAGGCCGTGCCTCTGTCGGTAATAAAAACTGCTGGTGCACCGTGAAGTGATACAGCATGAGTGATGTCGGCGACATCACTAGCGGTGGCTTTTGGATGGGGTCGCGTTTCGCAGTAACGTGTTAAACATTCCGCCACAACTACTATCAAGTGGTTACCAATCGAAGATTTGGGTAATAGACCATGCCAACTTGCTGAAAAGGCCCTCGTGGGGGTTAATTGGGTCGTAAAAAGACAGCAGTTTTCATTGGCGGAGCAGGCTTTAACACAAAGCTTGACAGTGCGGGAGAGAGCAGGCCAGTAGTATTTGTGGTGTACACACACCAGAAGCGTTAGCACCAGAAGTTCAGAAGATGGTTCATCATGACACGCATCGAATATCCTCGCTCGCATGGTAATCTGTACACGAAAAGATAGGTTTGAGCGCTATAGGGTCAAAGATGTGCTTATAAAACGTTGTTGCGGATAAATAACGTTGAAATTGTGCACCTGAACCTCTGCGGCGAATGCGTAAGCTGTCCCTTAAAGGGCCACTCACCAGGCCCCATAACAAACTTTCGTTAGACCATGGAAGTTGTTGTGTGTCCGACGAGAAACATTTTGCTACAAGAATTAAGTTTTTTTCGATCAGTTCATTACGAGCTGAGAAAACAGTTTTGTTTTTGAAGCGGCACAAAACGAAGATGAGAGGAGGCATGCTCGAAACCCTTGCCGCTTGTAGCCTTCGCAAGCCAAATCTTTTCCTTACACTCTCCGGCATCCAATGAAGAGGTCACGTGCGCGTGACGTGCCTGTACAAGTCCAACCCCCGAGCATGCGAGCGATGTGTTTTTTCAAGATTTTGTTGACCATCGTTATTTTGTTGTATACTGCCTGTTTCTGCGGGGTGGTTTGGAAACGCTGACTTAGACGCGGTAGAAGAATAGATGAGCACAATCAGTACGCGACCGCGGGAACACGAACGCATGCGAAACGCCGACACATTACCCCCGCATGTCGTTGCAATTCACTGAAAAAATTAAAAAAAGACGCGCACATTCCCTTATTGCATCTTATAATTTATCTAGAGTTATTAATCTTTTCAAGCAACAAATTACGTAAACTACGCATGTCGTGTTAAATAATTTTTGCTATGACACGTGCCACTGTTGGCTACGTTAGAGCACAGCCGTCAACGTAGAGGACCAACGTCACTTGACTGCTGTGTACGTACATCCATTTATACGGGCACGTTATGCCCTCACTCTCTGGGCGCAAGCCCGCGAAAGGAAGAAGGAGCAGCGTTCATCTTGAAATTTGACCCATTTCCGCTGTACGCAGCGTTGCAAATTTTGGTAGACGTGATCGTGAACGCCCTATCTACGCGTTGTGCTTGTCAGCTCAAAATTATCAAACCTGGTGAAGATAAAAGACACTGAAGCTCAATGGCACCAACTATCCCGTAAACACCTACATATCCACTCCTGTTTGAAATGCTTCGCGTTATGCGCAAATAAAGTTTTCTCTCTCTCTCTCTCTCTCTCTCTCTCTCTCTGGTGAGTGGCCCTTCAAGAAAGTCGATCAGTGAACGAAGCTCCAAGTCGTCACGCGGTCGCTGAGTCAAGTGAGACGCTGTGACGGCGCAGAGGAAGCTGTCGTCGTCCGTTGGATCAGTTGCATAGTCTTTTCGACTGGGGCACGTGACAGACAGTCAGCATCCATGTGCTGGCGCCACACCATGTTGACAACCACAACGTCAAACTCTTGAGGGCACAGACTCCATCGGGCAAGGTAGCCTGAGGGATTTTTGAGGCCTGCAAGCCAACACTGAGTGCTGGTCGGTAATTACCTTGAAAGGCCATCCGTACAAGCAGGGTCAAAGCTTAGTTATGGCCGACTTGACATCTACGTACCAAATATTTTCAGTAGAGTAGTCGAATTCAGCCAGTGACAAGGTGCGGCTAGCGTAGGCGATCACCCACTTGATGCCTTTCTGCCACATCATAAGGACGGCCCCGAAGCCCACATTGCTTGCAGCGGTGTGGACTTCAGTGTCGGCATCTTCGCCGAAGTGACCCAGGTGTTTCTCAGTGGGTGTAAGTTCGAGTACGTGTTTGTATGAGGACAGCGCCAGTACCCGACCTGTATGCATGTGTAGTTTGTACATAACTGGTTAAGTTGGTGCCATGGTGCACTGTCCTTGCGTTTTTCGCGCTGCGAGTTTAGAAGCTTGACTGGTTGGTCAGTCGTTTTTGTAACAGATAATACATTGCTTTATAAGTGTTTCCGTCACTCGATATATTGCAGAATGTGCAAGGCGGTCATGATAGTCGTTTCCTAAGGCACGTTGCTGGGCTAGTTGGTTGGGGTTCATCATTCATATGGTTATAGCGCACCATGACTAGGACACAAAAAAGCTGCGCGTGTCTGTATGTCCGCGCCGTGGTGTGCCTTATGAATAGTCGTTGCTGCAACAACCACATAAGAGGGAACCGAATTGTGTCGTGCTGCGATGTGTCAGCCGGTGATTCTGATAACACAGTATGCGGCACCATCCCAGGCATATAAACTTAGCAAGCCGCTTAAGAGTCAGTCATGATGATGCAATGCTGCGCACAATGATGCAATTCTGCGCACGATGAAATTATACGCACAATTTCACTGTACCAGCACAGCGCTGATTCCATGACTACTAGCATCAGTGTGAAAATTTGATTGATGATTGATTTGATTTGTGGGGTTTAACGTCACAAAACCAACATATGATTATGAGAGACGCCGTAGTGGAGGGCTCCGGAAATTTGGACCACCTGGGGTTCTTTAACGTGCACCCAAATCTGAGTACACGGGCCTACAACATTGCCGCCTCCATCGGAAATGCAGCCGAAATGTAGGGTTGGCGAGAAATAGGGTAATAATACAGAAGCCCCAGCACGTTCAAGTAGTAACACGTGTCAGCTTGAAGCGCGACGGCTGCCCCAACTTCTTGTTTCACTATGCAGTGCAGAGAAGCACACTTGTGAAATAAGAGAAGGGTCCATTGTGGAAATGGGTGAAATTGGTTTCAAACTTCAGGACAGTTATTTTCAGCGAGGGTCCCGTAAACTTTCGAAGTAGGCAAAAAAAAATTTCATTGACGTGGCCCCCCAATTCGGTCTGGTGCGTGCGAAACGTAGATCGCGGTCATACAGCGTCATCACTACAGGTGCGCTTACTTGCGCTAGTGATTGACATCAATAACGGTTCAATATAATAAAATTTGACTGACAAAATAACGCCAGGGAATGCACAGTGGCTCTTTTAATAAGTAATTGTAATATAAATGTAAAGAAAAAATGTGGAAGACAAGATAACTTGCGATCAGCAGGATCCGAATCTGCGACTTTCGATTAACGCTTTGTATGCTCTATCGCTAAGATACGGTGGCGGTTATCTCCCCGCCGAGCTGATAGGTTATATATGTGCATGTAAATGTGCAAGCATCAGTCAGTGCCACCTGTTGTCCTGGGGGCAAGTGTGGAGCACTCTTTGTGCCTCTTACTCCTCTTAGCCATTAGATACTCTATGAAGAGATACGTTAGTCTGTTCAAATGGCTGGGAGGGTGCCAAAGAAACGCTACAGTTCCTCATGTTGATTGATATGTGAAGTTTAACGTCCCAAAAGCCCCATATGTTTAAGGGAGACGCCGTAGTGGAGGGCTCCGAAAATTTCAGCCACCTGGGGTTCTCGAACGTGCACGTAAATCTGAGCACACGGGCTTACAGCGTTTTAGCCTCCTCCATCAAAAATGCAGCAGCCACTGCCGGGATTCAATCCCGCAACCTGCGGGTCAGCAGCCGAGTACTTTAGTCACTACACCCTCGCGGTGGGGCGCAGATATTCGTGTTTAGAGACTTGGATGGAGCGTAAACACCCAGTCTGTGTCATGTATTTTTTTGCTAACCAAATCCGTGCTCCACTATGCAAGACTTCCAATCAACCACACCTCGCTCGTGTGAGTTTGCATACCCGTTTTTTTATCATTATAAGTAAGAACTAGTTCAGCTCTTTCACCGTGCACATCAGTGTTGCCAGTGTGTACACTTCTCCGGTCGCCGCTCAAGGTCACCGCACCGGTCGTCTTTCCGGCGATTCCAACAATGCTCACTAGATGGTGCGCTGCCACGCAAGGCGTCGGTTTTCGATTGCCCGCGCGCTATCCTCCTCACGACTACGTCCACTTAGTTCGCGTCACTTCGTAGGCATGGTCGCAAGTGACAAGTTCCTACAATGATTGTTACAAAAGGGTGCCGATATCCCCCCAAGACCGATCACCTGGCGTATCTTAAACCCGTCGAAGAATGCCCGATAGCTCCACGTCTGCAATTTATGAGCGTTAGGCATTGGACTCACGACAGCAGCCAGTACGGCGCAAAGGGACAGGTGGTTAACGTGCCGATCGACATGGTCAACAGAGTGCAGTACCAGCCGCGAAACATGCCAAAGTGTACAGGGATGTTCCATGCAAGAAAAGTTCCCCTTTTCAGGGAATTTTGCCTGCCATATTGAGCCAAAGAAAAAAAGGAAAAGGGGTTAAATACTTCTGTGACGACCGATCATTAGCAGTCATAGTGCGCTTTCATCTGCGGTAATCTGTTCTGGCGCATGCACCACGCAAGCAGAGCCCTTGAGATTTGTTTGATATTTACGCAGTGCGGCTTCAAGTTCACTGTTAGTGTCAGACTTGAAGCCCACAAGGTGCAGTGTGCTAACAGTATATGAATTAATAATGTCATGCTTTTGTTGTGCGGCAGTGGAGAGGCTAGTAATGATTTCAGTTGTCGGCATTCTGTCAGAAACGTGCAATTATAAAATGCGTGTGCGTGAATGGGTGTGGAAGTTAGTACTGTTGTGCAGAGAAATATGCTGGAAACTTTGTCAACATTTGTAGAGAACATTTTCCGAAATAGAGAATTTTCATGCCTCTGAGTACATACTTCGCCTCAGTACGGAACATCACTGGCCCCACAACGCCGCCTTTGACGTAAACTTTAAGCGCCAGCTCGTTAACAAGCCTTCCTACAAAAATAGACTCACCAAGAAACGTCGCGTGCACCTTCGAGCATGCTCCTCTAAGATGATTCACTGTGGGAATATGGCGGCGATTTTTTTAACATTAACACGTAAGAACTTGTACAGCTCGACTACCAATACAGGTACTTCGAATAAAATTCTCACCGTGTTGCGGGAAAGAGCTTTTTTCATTACGGGGTCATTGGAGGGCTTGGAAGACTTCAGGCTCACAGTTAGGGCCATGAGAAAACGGTTCCGACCGACAACCTCCTTGAGTGTGCGGCAAACGTAGCGAACCTGCAGAGTATGGTCGACTTCGGGCTCCTCCTCTTGAATGCAAATGGCGAGGAAGACTATGGAACGATTGTTCGCCACCAGTCGCCCCAGCGCCGTGGCGGTTCTCCTCCGGAAGGTGATGGAGCCGATGTTGAGGAAGGTTATGGTGCGATTACGTTCGAGGGCGCCAAACAGCTTGACAACGTCTTCATCGCACAAGCTGACGCACATGTACAAATGGCTGCGAGAGAAAGAAAAAAGCTCTTTAAGAGGTGTGCGTGGCATGCAGAGGCTTTTTCTGGAGTAAAGCTGAGGCATGGTGGTACCAGGCGTGATAATTACTCGTGATCAAAGTGAATGACTAGCGCTAGGCATTCATGCCACATACTGTGAATGAATGTGAGAGGCTCCAGGTGGACAGCTTAAGGCGTGTTGATGTTGGATGATAATTAAACGGGAATTTAGTGCTCATTATGTAGTTCCACAATATCTTAAAACCCTCCCCCATTGCACAACTACATTATTCACAGCGTAAGATAAAAAAGAAAGCATCGCCCTCAAAACTACATTTTGTGCGGCCTTCGCCTACCTAAGAATGACGCAGTGGTTGGTTTTTATTTTCAGCCCAAATAGCTCCTTTCGCCTAATGCAAAGACCATAAGAGCGATGTAAACTACCTTTTGGTTGTTCCTAAGTAAGCACTTAGCTTACTATTAATGCGAGAATATACAGCAAAACTGCTTTATTTGAAGAAAAAAACCTAAACTGCCTTATTCGAAGAAATAAAAGACATTCTCATAAGCTAGCGTAATTCAATAAAGTGTTTAGACAAATTCTTTCCCCACGTGTAAAGAAAACTTAGTGAACGCTTCAGCTTTGCCTTGTAGAGTAGAACGCGACAGCATGATCAGATCCCGTGCGAATCACCTTCTATATTGCTAGCCTGGCTTCTGTTCACGGGGCATGCTTCAGCCGCGCCGCAAGGAAACGCATACTGGCCATTTAAAACCATCCCAGAGTGCGTACTGCGAGTGCAGTTGCGCCGTGCTCACTGCGCCTTAATCCTTTCCGTCGCGAATCAGCGAAAAGCCCACTATGCGCCCGTAAAGGCGAACTCACGCAGCTGCTCATTCTGGTAGTGTTTCTACTGCTTATGGACAGGTGGCGTGAGCGGGGAAGGAGGTGTAGACACGGCTCCGTGTTGGCACCGTGAAATTACCACTCTTTCAAGCGGAAAGGACAACAGCCAGCTGATAAAGTGCTGTGTGTGGTTGCGGACGTGCTCAGGATCCTGTGGCTACCATTCTGAAGATTGTAAGTGGATTTTAGAGGATTTTATGGCGCCTTTGGTGTTCGACAAGCTGTGCGTCTCGCCAACTCCACCGTTTGGCCTAGCGCCGAGGCGGTCGGATAGGTGTTCGAGGCTCCAGGCGTCGGCTCGTAGAGCGTCTGCGGAAGCACTATGACGATGGAAGTGACTGTTAATGGTAGAGATGCCGATCCAGAAGAATTGGAAAGCTCGGACTGGGTGACGAAAGTGTCAAAACTTGTGGCGGAGCTCCAGAAAAGTCAACAACGAGAACGCGATGGCGCCACTAGGGCGGCGTCTACCAGCAGTGGATACGAAAAAGAAGGCAGGACGGTGCCGGCCGGCTTCAATGGCGACAAGCATGATGTAAGCGAGAGATCCTCATATAAAGCGGCGGGAAAAAAGCTTGCGGAGCAGTCAGTAGCGTCGCATCTACCGCGTCTTCCAAACGCGGATCACAAAGTTATTATCAGGCCTAAAGAAGGACTGACGCTCACCAGACGCTCGGCACCTGTGATTGGTGGAGCAGTAAGGATGGCAGCAGGCATTCCATGACAGAAAGGTCGGGAAGAAGACAGGATCATTGTCACCGACAAGCAAGGAACATAGATATACAGCACGCCCAGGGAGGATGAGGCCAAGAAAATGTTGGACCTGAAAGTCATAAAGCTCGACGGCAAGGAGTACGAGGTGAAGACATATAGGGCTGCGCCTGAAAGCTGTGGCAAAGGAGTGGTACGTGGACTTGATATCAGACTCTCTGAGAGGGAATTGGAACTGGCTTTCTCACACGAAGAGAATCGCCCTATTCTTGGTGTGCGAAGGATGGGAAACTCCACTTCGGTAATCATCACCTTTGTTGACGACTACGTGCCGAGATGGATGATCTGCTTTGGGACGCCGATGAAATGTTTTCTCTACAAGAAGAGATATGAAGTGTGTTACAGGTGTGGTGAGCTGGGACATCGATCCGACGTATGTGAGAGCCCGCACAAAAAATGCAGAGGTTGTGGGGTGGCCTCCCCACCCAAGGACCATGAATGTACACCGAGGTGCCGTCTGTGTAACAAGGAGCACGTGACCGAAAACATAAGGTGCAAAGAACTTTTTGGACACCTTATATAGTGAAGAAGCGACAGTGGGAAATGAAGTTTGAAGAAGCGCGGGAGCAAGAAGAACGACGCAAGGCCGAAGAGGACACGCAGTGGCACAGCAGGACAGACGGGGTTCAAGATCGTTCGAGGCGCAAATCCAAGCATCGCAGTAGATTGAAAGGGCGCTCGGAATCCTTCCCCCGATTGCCACTGCTGGAGAAGTCGGGAGTTTATCACAAGGCACCCCATGATATTGGTAATTGTGCCCCGGAGAAGTCAAAATCCACAGGACCACAGGTTGGTTGGGTAACTAAGGTCTCCCAGGATGCAAAAACAGAGATGATAAATGCTCTTAAAGAGCAAAACAGGATATTACAGGAGCAAAATGCGGAATTACGCAAACTGCTTGATGAGATTAAAGCTCATCTAACCAGTAAACCAGGGCAGGCGCTGGAAACACCTCAGGTAGCAAACCAACCGCGTTTAAAGAAGAAGAGGGCTAAAGAAACCGAAATTGAAGAAAATCACGGAGCGAGAAATGAAGCGTTTGAGGTGGAAAGTAAGTCATTACAAGGTATGCTCCAAGCTGTACTAGACCAGATGAAACAAGTAGGCAACGCTATTGAGCAAATTAAGGCTGAATTTGCTAGCAGGAACCGACAGATAGAATGGCTATGCCAAGCGCCCAAGCTAAACCATGATGGCTCTGCACCCTTGCAGTAATAGGATTTGGCAGTGGAACTGTAGGTTTTCTCGCGCTAACGTGCGGTTTTACAACCTTTTCTTACCAACGCTGATCGACCGGAGGTTATTGCGATCCAGGAGTGTGGGAAAAATGCAAAATTAGGAGGTTACAAATATTTTGCCGGGTAGGGTAATGATACCCAAGTTACGACCTTTGTAAAGAGAAACGTTACGACATTGCAGCACGAGACGGGGAACTCGCAGATCGATCATGTTTTAGTCGAACTCGTGCCTCGCAAGCGCAAAGACAAGAGTCTTTATTCTGAATGTGTATAGTTCCCCCCGGCAGCGCAAAATCAACTTTGGTGATCTTTTCACGAAAACAAAGGTTATTTCAGCAAACGGTCCACTATTGATTTTGGGCGACTTTAATGCGCCTCATACGGCATGGGGTTATAAATTCACCCAGGTTAAGGGCAGAAATTTGTGGAACGAAATTCAACAACATGAGCTGATACTTATAACGGACCCAATGCAGCCAACGAGGAAAGGAAATAGCGTATCTCAAGACACAACGCCAGATATTACCCTGGTCAGCAGTGCCACCGCCGCCACGTGGTGCAATACCAAGGAAGACCTATAGGTAGTGATGATAGAATTTTAGAGATTATTGTTGCCAATGGCCCGCTGGTGATCAATAAGAGAAAAGTTAAAACTATAGATTGGGTGACCTTTAGAAATATCAGGTCGGAACAGGATCCATAAATGATATTAACGATTGGAGTAAAGGGGTGATCCAGTCGGTTCAGGACGCTACCGAAGAGATTGACGCTGGCGATGAGGAAGTTGTTGATAGACATCTTGTAAGCATGTGGAAGAAAAACTTAAAGCGAAAAATCAGACAGGTATCTCCGAAAGGAAGTTGCTGCACTGAATATAGAGATCGAAGATTATGCATTGGAACTTTCCAAGCAAAAGTGAGGTAGTATCGGTGATCAGATGGATAGAGAGATTGGCAGTGATAAAACATGGCAGCTACTACGGCATCTATTAGACCCAGAGAAAACCAAGTCGAAGGCCCGACAGCAACTTCAAAAGCTTGTGTATAAATATGAAGGTCAGACGACGGAATTATTAACGGAGGTTAGGGATCAATACCTCAGCTGCGCAGAATCTCAAAAGCTCCCCGACTACGCTGGTTCAGAAAATCCGGACCTAGACATCCCCATCAAGGTTGGAGATGTCAGGGCTGAAATTAACCGACTTAAAACAAAAATGGCTGCCGGTCTGTACAAAACAACAGATTGCTCAGGAATTTCGACGACCGCTCCATTCGTCAACTTGCAGCTTATATGCAAGAATGCTGGGACAAGGGAGAAATACCGCAAGCTTGGAAAACGGCCAATGTGGTCTTCATTCCTTAGCCAGGGAAAAAAGCTCAGTCTTGAGCATCTCAGACCCATTTCCATCACATCTTGTGTAGGAAAATTGATGGAGCACGTCATCCAAACAAAACTGACTAGGTTAATGGAAGATGAAAACCTGTACCTTGATACTATGATAGGCTTCAGATTCCACCTATTGACGTGCGATATTATGCTACAGCTAAAGGAGGAGATAATAGACAAAAAGATTGTTGACACCAAAGTAATTGTGGGTCTGGACGTCTCCAAGGCGTTTGACAATGTCAAACACGAAGCCTTAAGAACCTAAGTGCGCTAAACGTAGACGTCAAGACACAACTACGTGAGGGGCGTTCTCTCAAATCGTACAGCCACTATCAGCATGGGAGGGCGGTTGCCCGAAAACATTAAATTGGTGAATAAAGGGACGCCACAAAAGTTTGTACTCTCTCCGACTCTCTTTAATATAGCGATGATTGGACTTCTTGAGAAGTTGGAAGGAATCGAAAATCTGCATCACACAATATACGCAGACGATGCGACGCTGTGGATAAACAGGGGTAGTGACGGACATATTGAAAGTACACTTCAGGCGGCTATAGATACTATCGAACAATATCTCGAACTACTAGGGTTAACTACTACTAGGGAACTACTAGGAGGGAACTACTAGGAGGCTTCTATATAAATTCATTAGACATTTCGTGTCACTACCCCATGTAGTGCATGACAACACTTTCAAAATGTTCAT